CCCCCGGCTCGGGCCGGCCTCGTTCATACGTAGGACAGTCCCAAGCATGGCGCCCCACACCGCCACATTTCTTGCATATTTCCCCCGGACGTCTGGTACGTTCCCCTTTGCTGGGGCAGACACGTGCCGGATGTCCGCGACCCTGATACTCAAGGCAGTTTGTGTGGGTTTTTCAGGGCGATTTTCAATTTCCTGGCGCCCACGGGGTCCATTAGCTTGGATAGCAGCCCTAATGGTTCGACTGATCCTTTCTCGGAGTTCCAGCACACTCTACTTAGGCTTGTAGAGCCGTGTGGCTGCTGTCGATGCTTGTTCCCACGGCTGATATTTCGTTATTGGTTATTGGTTATTGGTTATTAGAAGATGGAGGTCTGTCGGTAGCCCGGTGCAGTAATAGTCCGCGAGTTCGTCGGGGGCAAAACCCAACCCACGCTCCGCTACAGCCGCAAACCGGTCCGTGTATTTCTTCGGGTTACCATTCCACCGTACTTTAGCCAACTCCGTTAACAATTGACTCTGCGACATTGTTCTGTCAAGCCGCTCCAAAAGCCTGCGCTGTACTGTCGCCCAGTCACTTAGGTCGATAGTTCTCCATAGATACATCCAATACGTTAGAGCCGGGCCCACAAGGTGGTCTATAAGTGCAGTTCCCCACTCGCGCGGCTCCAATCCCATCTGGATGTACCGGGGCTCGATGCGCAGCAGAAAGGCCTGCATAGCGCTGCCGTCTTCTGGTAGTATGGGAGTCGTTTCGTCGGATTCCACGGTCCCCCTATAACAGTTCTTATCACACTCATTGCGGACTGGAATTGGTCCCACGTGACAACGGGACTGTCCCCTGGCATAACATTGGTCATAGGTATCACCTGTGGGGGCGTCTCCTTATTCCCATGCGGCCGCTCTGCCACGGTGGGCTTCGGAGTCGCATGGCGATGATGGACTGGAGTCCCGCTCGGCATTTTGTTGACTGACATTGTAGAAGTCTCCTGCGGTGTGGGGCCGATAACGCGTCCGTTGCGGAGATGCATCCCTTACCGAGCGAAGAGTTCTAGGCACGAGTTACTAAAACATAGTATTTCTACTCCCAAGTCCGGAAAGAACAAAGATTTCATTCCCGGAGCAGCCCCCAAATGCAGTGCGCAGCGCCTACTGCTGCGACTGCGACTCCGCTGCTACCTGCACCTCGAGCAGGCCTACAAACTACACCTAGCGTAGGCCCATTTCCTGGAAACTGTAGCTTAATTTCATCGAAACACAGTAATTCTTAAGTTTTTCAAAATGTGTCTGTTCGATTCGCCCCACTCTGGGAGCTCGCCTCCTAGGCCCTATGGGGAGGAGGACTGCACTGGTGTCGGCGCTATCGCCAGCCGCAGTCTCCACACATTCTGCACCTCTAACGTATGCATATTAATTCATAAACAATTTTCCTTACTTTGATCCTAGTAGGAGGGTCCTATCCTCCTCCAGTTGTTGCGACCCCTTGTAGGTCGGTTGCTAGCTATCGTCTATAGGTCACCAGCAAGCCCCATTGTAGTGCCTGTGCACTACAGACGCCGCCGGTTATGCAATCAGAGCGGTCCTGGAACAAGACGGCACGCCCATCGGTTTCCTCAGTCAAGTCATGAACTCCACACAGCAGAAACGCTCGATATACGATCAAGAACTCGTGGCAGTGGTGACGGCCCTGAACAAGTGGTCTCACTTGCTCCGAGTTGCAGGGTTTACGGCTCATACTGATCGCCAAGCTCTCACCCATCTCCAGCGACTCCGAGCATCGAAGCCTCTGCCCGGACGCACCTCCCTGTGATTATATTTCCTGACCGAGTTCCCGGATTTGCACATTGCTTACATTCAAGGTGCGCGCAATCAGGTGGCTGATGCCTTGTCTCGCTTTTCCGGTCTTGCAAACACCTGCTCGCACGACACACCACCGACACCACCGACGTTTGCAGTAGCACAAGCGCGCGAGGCTCCTCGTTCTCGTGGTCTGCTCGCTAACTACAGGGAGCTCGCCAGCATTTGTTCGAGACGACCCAGACAACGCAGTTTGCCATCGCTACCTTCACTTGCGCCGCCGGAACACAATCCAGAGGCGAAACACCCTACCCCTACAACGAAGACACCAGGTGACCCTCCTGATGTGCACTCATAGCCGCAAGCTTACTCAGAGTGTCCCGTTTTCCGCGCTCCCTACGAAGCCACTGCAAAACAACCAGGAGACGCTATTCAGATAGGACTCCGTAATCGCCAATTCACCTCCCTCTATGTGCCGCCTTACCTGCACATTTGCTGAACTATGGAGAATCTGTGTCCCACAATTCCCTGAGTTCCTTACACACGCTCTGCATTCACACCATGACCATGTCACAGCACGCCATCGAGGCCAGAAAAAGACCTTCACGGCTCTGAGCCAGCACTACTACTGGCCAGGAATGCGCGTCTACACTACTGCGTATGTTGAATCATGTGTTCCCTGTCGAGAGTCCAAGTCCCTTAACTAGAAACCTGTAGGCCTTCTTCAACAGCTACTCATCCCTTCTTGTCGGTGGCAGCACGTGAGCCTTGACGTTATCACAGATCTTCTCCTTTTAACGGCAGGGCACGGCTCG